AGCACAGGAGCACAGGAGCACAGGAGCACAGGAGCACAGGAGCACAGGAGCACAGGAGCACAGGAGCACAGGAGCACAGGAGCACAGGAGCACAGGAGCACAGGAGCACAGGAGCACAGGAGCACAGGAGCACAGGAGCACAGGAGCACAGGAGCACAGGAGCACAGGAGCACAGGAGCACAGGAGCACAGGAGCACAGGAGCACAGGAGCACAGGAGCACAGGAGCACAGGAGCACAGGAGCACAGGAGCACAGGAGCACAGGAGCACAGGAGCACAGGAGCACAGGAGCACAGGAGCACAGGAGCACAGGAGCACAGAGCACAGGAGCACAGGAGCACAGGAGCACAGGAAGCACAGGAGCACAGGAGCACAGTGAGCACAGGAGCACAGGAGCACAGGAGCACAGGAGCACAGGAGCACGGAGCGACAGGAGCACAGGAGCACAGGAGCACAGGAGGCACAGGAGGCACAGGAGCACAGGAGCACAGGAGCACAGGAGCACAGGAGCACAGGAGCACAGGAGCACAGGAAGCACAGGAGCACAGGAGCACAGGAGCACAGGAGCACAGGAGCACAGGAGCACAGGAGCACAGGAGCACAGGAGCACAGGAGCACAGGAGCAAGGAGCACAGGAGCACAGAGCACAGGAAGCCAGGAGCACAGGAGCACAGGAGCACGGGAGACAGGGAGCAACAGGAGCACAGGAGCACAGGAGCACAGGAGCACAGGAGCACAGGAGCACAGGAGCACAGGAGCACAGGAGCACAGGAGCACAGGAGCACAGTAGCACAGGAGCACAGGAGCACAGGAGCACAGGAGCACAGGAGCACAGGAGCACAGGAGCACAGGAGCACAGGAGCACAGGAGCACAGGAGCACAGGAGCACAGGAGCACAGGAGCACAGGAGCACAGGAGCACAGGAGCACAGGAGCACAGGAGCACAGGAGCACAGGAGCACAGGAGCACAGGAGCACAGGAGCACAGGAGCACAGGAGCACAGGAGCACAGGAGCACAGGAGCACAGGAGCACAGGAGCACAGGAGCACAGGAGCACAGGAGCACAGGAGCACAGGAGCACAGGAGCACAGGAGCACAGGAGCACAGGAGCACAGGAGCACAGGAGCACAGGAGCACAGGAGCACAGGAGCACAGGAGCACAGGAGCACAGGAGCACAGGAGCACAGGAGCACAGGAGCACAGGAGCACAGGAGCACAGGAGCACAGGAGCACAGGAGCACAGGAGCACAGGAGCACAGGAGCACAGGAGCACAGGAGCACAGGAGCACAGGAGCACAGGAGCACAGGAGCACAGGAGCACAGGAGCACAGGAGCACAGGAGCACCGGAGCACAGGAGCACAGGAGCACAGGAGCACAGGAGCACAGGAGCACAGGAGCACAGAGCACAGGAGCACAGGAGCACAGAGCACAGGAGCACAGGAGCACAGGAGCACAGGAGCACAGGAGCACAGGAGCACAGGAGCACAGGAGCACAGGAGCACAGGAGCACAGGAGCACAGGAGCACACAGGAGCACAGGAGCACAGGAGCACAGGAGCACAGGAGCACAGGAGCACAGGAGCACAGGAGCACAGGAGCACAGGGAGCACAGGAGCACAGGAGCACAGGAGCACAGGAGCACAGGAAGCACAGAGCAAGGAGCACAGGAGCACAGGAGCACAGGAGCACAGGAGCACAGGAGCACAGGAGCACAGGAGCACAGGAGCACAGGAGCACAGGAGCACAGGAGCACAGGAGCACAGGAGCACAGGAGCACTAGGAGCACAGGAGCACAGGAGCACAGGAGCACAGGAGCACAGGAGCACAGGAGCACAGGAGCACAGGAGCACAGGAGCACAGGAGCACAGGAGCACAGGAGCACAGGAGCACAGGAGCACAGGAGCACAGGAGCACAGGAGCACAGGAGCACAGGAGCACAGGAGCACAGGAGCACAGGAGCACAGGAGCACAGGAGCACAGGAGCACAGGAGCACAGGAGCACAGGAGCACAGGAGCACAGGAGCACAGGAGCACAGGAGCACAGGAGCACAGGAGCACAGGAGCACAGGAGCACAGGAGCACAGGAGCACAGGAGCACAGGAGCACAGGAGCACAGGAGCACAGGAGCACAGGAGCACAGGAGCACAGGAGCACAGGAGCACAGGAGCACAGGAGCACAGGAGCACAGGAGCACAGGAGCACAGGAGCACAGGAGCACAGGAGCACAGGAGCACAGGAGCACAGGAGCACAGGAGCACAGGAGCACAGGAGCACAGGAGCACAGGAGCACAGGAGCACAGGAGCACAGGAGCACAGGAGCACAGGAGCACAGGAGCACAGGAGCACAGGAGCACAGGAGCACAGGAGCACAGGAGCACAGGAGCACAGGAGCACAGGAGCACAGGAGCACAGGAGCACAGGAGCACAGGAGCACAGGAGCACAGGAGCACAGGAGCACAGGAGCACAGGAGCACAGGAGCACAGGAGCACAGGAGCACAGGAGCACAGGAGCACAGGAGCACAGGAGCACAGGAGCACAGGAGCACAGGAGCACAGGAGCACAGGAGCACAGGAGCACAGGAGCACAGGAGCACAGGAGCACAGGAGCACAGGAGCACAGGAGCACAGGAGCACAGGAGCACAGGAGCACAGGAGCACAGGAGCACAGGAGCACAGGAGCACAGGAGCACAGGAGCACAGGAGCACAGGAGCACAGGAGCACAGGAGCACAGGAGCACAGGAGCACAGGAGCACAGGAGCACAGGAGCACAGGAGCACAGGAGCACAGGAGCACAGGAGCACAGGAGCACAGGAGCACAGGAGCACAGGAGCCAAGGAGCACCAGGAGCACAGGAGCACAGGAGCACAGGAGCACAGGAGCACAGGAGCACAGGAGCACCGAGCACAGGAGCACAGGAGCACAGGAGCACAGGAGCACAGGAGCACAGGAGCACAGGAGCACAGGAGCACAGGAGCACAGGAGCACAGGAGCACAGGAGTCACAGGAGCACAGGAGCACAGGAGCACAGGAGCACAGGAGCACAGGAGCACAGGAGCACAGGAGCACAGGAGCACAGGAGCACAGGAGCACAGGAGCACAGGAGCACAGGAGCACAGGAGCACAGGAGCACAGGAGCACAGGAGCCACAGGAGCACAGGAGCACAGGAGCACAGAGCACAGGAGCACAGGAGCACAGGAGCACAGGAGCACAGGAGCACAGGAGCACAGGAGCACAGGAGCACAGGAGCACAGGAGCACAGGAGCACAGGAGCACAGGAGCACAGGAGCACAGGAGCACAGGAGCACAGGAGCACAGGAGCACAGGAGCACAGGAGCACAGGAGCACAGGAGCACAGGAGCACAGGAGCACAGGAGCACAGGAGCACAGGAGCACAGGAGCACAGGAGCACAGGAGCACAGGAGCACAGGAGCACAGGAGCACAGGAGCACAGGAGCACAGGAGCACAGGAGCACAGGAGCACAGGAGCACAGGAGCACAGGAGCACAGGAGCACAGGAGCACAGGAGCACAGGAGCACAGGAGCACAGGAGCACAGGAGCACAGGAGCACAGGAGCACAGGAGCACAGGAGCACAGGAGCACAGGAGCACAGGAGCACAGGAGCACAGGAGCACAGGAGCACAGGAGCACAGGAGCACAGGAGCACAGGAGCACAGGAGCACAGGAGCACAGGAGCACAGGAGCACAGGAGCACAGGAGCACAGGAGCACAGGAGCACAGGAGCACAGGAGCACAGGAGCACAGGAGCACAGGAGCACAGGAGCACAGGAGCACAGGAGCACAGGAGCACAGGAGCACAGGAGCACAGGAGCACAGGAGCACAGGAGCACAGGAGCACAGGAGCACAGTGAGCACAGGAGCACAGGAGCACAGGAGCACAGGAGCACAGGAGCACAGGAGCACAGGAGCACAGGAGCACAGGAGCACAGGAGCAAGGAGCACAGAGAGCACAGGAGGCACAGGAGCACAGGAGCACAGGAGCACAGGGAGCACAGGAGCACAGGAGCACAGGAGCACAGGAGCACAGGAGCACAGGAGCACAGGAGCCAGGAGCACAGGAGCACAGGAAGCACAGGAGCACAGGAGCAAGGAGCACAGGAGCACAGGAGCACAGGAGCACAGGAGCACAGGAGCACAGGAGCACAGGAGCACAGGAGCACAGGGAGCACAGGAGCACAGGAGCACAGGAGCACAGGAGCACAGGAGCACAGGAGCACAGCCGAGCACAGGAGCACAGGAGCACAGGAGCACAGGAGCACAGGAGCACAGGAGCACAGGAGCACAGGAGCACAGGGAGGAGCACAGGAGCACAGGAGCACAGGAGCACAGGAGCACAGGAGCACAGGAGCACAGGAGCACAGGAGCACAGGAGCACAGGAGCACAGGAGCACAGGAGCACAGGAGCACAGGAGCACAGGAGCACAGGAGCACAGGAGCACAGGAGCACAGGAGCACAGGAGCACAGGAGCACAGGAGCACAGGAGCACAGGAGCACAGGAGCACAGGAGCACAGGAGCACAGGAGCACAGGAGCACAGGAGCACAGGAGCACAGGAGCACAGGAGCACAGGAGCACAGGAGCACAGGAGCACAGGAGCACAGGAGCACAGGAGCACAGGAGCACAGGAGCACAGGAGCACAGGAGCACAGGAGCACAGGAGCACAGGAGCACAGGAGCACAGGAGCACAGGAGCACAGGAGCACAGGAGCACAGGAGCACAGGAGCACAGGAGCACAGGAGCACAGGAGCACAGGAGCACAGGAGCACAGGAGCACAGGAGCACAGGAGCACAGGAGCACAGGAGCACAGGAGCACAGGAGCACAGGAGCACAGGAGCACAGGAGCACAGGAGCACAGGAGCACAGGAGCACAGGAGCACAGGAGCACAGGAGCACAGGAGCACAGGAGCACAGGAGCACAGGAGCACAGGAGCACAGGAGCACAGGAGCATATGCATGCATACCATGGCGCTCTGCCCTCTCACGCCCTCGCCCCCGCGGCTATCCACATCCACCTTGCCTGTACGGTACCCGAGTGCTGCGAGGGACGGCTGGGCGGCGTGGGCGTGCAGGATGGCGTGCAGCCAATCACAGGAGGCGGGGGGGAGGAGGTCGTCCTGGAGCAGGGCGAGGAGGGGCGCGCGGGAGGAGGAGGCGGCGCGGTTGAATGCGTATACCTCGTGGGTGTTGTGGCGGAAGATGACGCGCAGGAAGGAGCTTTGGGTGCACCGATGATGCCCGCACCAAGGGGGGGCGGAGGGGGATGGGGAAGGGGGGTGTGAGGGGGGTATGAGTGTGGTGTTGGTAGGCTCGGTGCCGGGTTGACTCGGCAGTGGTGGTAGCGACAACCCTGCCCAATGGCTCACCCCCTGCTCTCCCCCCTGCCCTCCCCCCTGCCCTCCCCCTTGCCCTCCCTCCTGCCCTCTCTCCTGCTTTCCCCTCTGCCCTCCCTCCTGCCTTCCCTCTTGCCCTCCCCCCTGCCCTCCCCCCTGCCCTTCCCCCTGCCCTCCCTGCACTCCCTGCACCCCCCCCGTGTCGCGCCACATCTGCAGCCAGAGCGGCCAGGAGGAGGGTTCATCCACATTGGCCGTCAGCTCTATCCTGTACCCCGCCTGCCCCCCCCCGCCCACCCGCCCTGCCATGCTGCCATTCTCCGCCGCCCCCGCCCCTGCACCTCCTCCCTTCCCCACCCCTCGCTCATCCCAACTCACCTCGCTCCCCAGCCCAGCCCACGCCTCCCGTCCTGCCCCACCATCCCCACCTCCACCCCCACTCCCATGCCCTTGCTCCTCCCCCGCGCTCCCAGCAGCAGCAGCACCACCACCACCGCGGCTGGCAGTGCAGGCGTGCAAGCGGGAAACAAGGGGTTGCACGTTGGAGGGCTGCTGGAAGTACTGCAGCAGCAGCGACATGCCCACTGCCGCCTGTGGGAACAGCTCCCGCCGCCGCTGCCACACTGACACGTCCGACCTCACGCCCACACACGCCCGCGCCTCCCTGCCCTGCTCGCCCCCCCTGCACCGCCACCCCCCGTCTGCTTCTAACAAACCCTCTCCCGGTCTCTCCCGTTGCCCTCCCTCCCCCTCTCCCACCTCCCCCCCGCCCGTCCTCCTCTCCTCCTCCCTCAGTCTGAGCGTCCCTCTCTCTTCTGCTGGCAAGTCTAGCTCGTCCCCGCTATAAGCACACTCGGTAAGCAGGCGCTGGCGCAGGCCGGAGAGGGAGGAGCGCAGAGCAGAGGGAGGAGGGTCAGGGGGGCGGGGAGGAGCAGAGGGGGAAGGGGGGGAGAGCGGCGGGAGCAGGGACTGCAGGTGAAGCTGCAGAGCGCGCTGATATTCTTCCCTGGCGGTATCAAATGTGTCTCTTAGCGCCACACATGCTGCTGCCCTCCCCCTCACGCCCCTCCATGCCACCCGCCGCCACTGCCCCTCGCCCCCCCCCCACTCCTCCAGCCTCCCCCCCGCGTTGAGCCAAGGGGAGGGAGAGCGCGGCAGTGAGGGGGAGGGCAGCGCGGAGGGGGGCAGCGCGGAGGCGGGCAGAGAGGCGTTGACAAAGAGAAGTCGCTCCCCTCCCAGACGTACGTGCTGATGGGGACAGGGAGAGAGGACGGAGGAGGAGACAACGAGAAGAAGCGAAAAAAATGCAGTGGGGAGGTGAGAAGCGGAGAGTGGAGAGCACATGGCAAAATGCAGATTGTGACAGGATAGGGAGCATTGAGAAACTAGGGAGCAGAGCACACGCAAATGCAGAGCAGAGCAGAGTGCAGAGCACACACGCACGTGGAAGAGAGAGGCAAAGAGCGACCAGCGGGAGAAGCGGTGGTGCAGCGGCAGCAGCAGCGACTGGTGTAGTCGCCCCCACGCCTGCTGTGTGTGCAGGTGCTGCTGGCGCTGCAGCAGCTGCCACAGCCGTGACTGCTGGGGCGAGGCGCTGCAGGGGGGTTGCAGGGAGAGACGCATGGGGAGGCACAGGTGAGGGCGCACGGGGGGGTTGGGGATGGGGGAAAGGGAGAGACGAGTGTGATGGGAGGTAGGGAGGCACACACACGGTGGTGATGGGCAGAGGCAGAGGATGGACGGGGGAGGGCATGAAGGTGGGACGGATGGAATTTGAGATGAGAGGCAGTCGAGCGGCTGGAACCGGAAAGAAAATGTGGCTTGTGGAATGTGTAGGAGGGGGATGGGACGATGGATGTAACTTGTACGACGGGGTGGGAGCGAGGGAGGGCAGTACCCGAGGGTGGTGCCTGCAGCGGCAGAGTGCGGGGTTGCTTCGGAGGAGGTGCTATGATGGGCCTGATGGAGGTAGTTCAAAGGAAGGAAGAAATGGTGAGGTGGAGAAAGAAGCATGGTGAGGTGGAGAAAGGAGCATGGTGAGGTGGAGAAAGGAGCATGGTGAGGTGGAGAAAGGAGCATGGTGAGGTGGAGAAAGGAGCATGGTGAGGTGGAGAAAGGAGCATGGTGAGGTGGAGAAAGGAGCATGGTGAGGTGGAGAAAGGAGCATGGTGAGGTGGAGAAAGGAGCATGGTGTGATTGCGGCAGCATGATATGAAATAGCACAACGGTGGCAGCATGATATGAAATAGCACAACGGTGGCAGCATGATATGAAATAGCACAACGGTGGCAGCATGATATGAAATAGCACAACGGTGGCAGCATGATATGAAATAGCACAACGGTGGCAGCATGATATGAAATAGCACAACGGTGGCAGCATGATATGAAATAGCACAACGGTGGCAGCATGATATGAAATAGCACAACGGTGGCAGCATGATATGAAATAGCACAACGGTGGCAGCATGATATGAAATAGCACAATGGTGGCAGCACAAACGGACGGCATGGCGAGCAAAATGCTGACAGACTGGCATCACGGCTCGGCACAGCAAGGCACGGCATGGTACGGCACAGCAGGGCAAGATAGAGCAGAGAAGCGTACGGAGGGCGGCAGGAGGGCGAGCAGAGCGAGGGCCCCAACGAGGAGCAGCGCGAGCAGCAGGGCGCGCGGGTTGGTGAGGGGTGGGTGGGCGGGGGAAGGTGCGCAAGGGAGGCGCAGGTTGTAGGAAAAAGGGCGAGGGGAGCCGGGGCGGGGGGAGAGGGGCGCTTGGGTGGAGTGACGCGGAGACACAGCTGCCCGCGTGGGGGAGCGTGGCGAGGCGGGCACTGCAGACAGGCGATGAGTTGGGGGGAAGGGAGAGGAGGGAGGGAGAGAAGGGAGAAAGAGAGAGTGTAAGAAGAGGGTGAAAGTGGCGGCATGGCATGGGACATGGCCATGCGGGCGGCAACCGTTTGCCACTCCCCGTGTAACACCTCGCTACCCACTGGGTCAAAACGAGGGTTATGTTTGAGGCGCAGCGGAGGCACTCAACCCTTACATGTAAGCCCCACAGGCGTTACACACTCGTCCCCCCCCCTGGAGCCAACGTCCTCGTTGGGCAGGGAGTCGGCCCTCGCAAGGACCTCAATCTCGCTCTACAGCGACTTCGCTGGTGGGCCAGGCCAGCGGCGGATCGTTCACTGGGTTCGTGACTGGGTCACCACATTCAACTTCTCACTCACAGCGGAAAATGTGACCCAGCCGGGAATCGAACCCCAGGCTCTGAGACCAAATGTAACACCTCGCTACCCACTGGGTCAAAACGAGGGTTATGTTTGAGGCGCAGCGGAGGCACTCAACCCTTACATGTAAGCCCCACAGGCGTTACACCCCGGGCCACCACAGCCAGCGGCTCACACCCCTGCGACCCACCACCGACCCGCTCTCCCAGCCCAACCCAGCAGCGTTTACATCGCCCCTCACACACCCGCGCCAACTGCCCCTCGCCCCGCCCCTCTTTCCCCGCACCGCTCCCCTCCCCCGATCATACATCGTGCGCCTCTGCTGCGCGAATTCCCCCCAACGGCGCGCCCCTCCCCCGCCTCCGCAATCTCGCTCCAATCCGCGGTGGCGTCCCCCTTGCTGCCCCTCGCGCCCTCCCGGCGCCTTTCCCCCCGCCGCGCTCCGCCGCCGGCAGCCAGGGTGGCAGACGGAACGGCGGGGGGCGAGGGGGCTCTCATCGCCGGGAATGGGCAGGCGCGCGCCGGGATTGATGACTCGCGGAATGCGGAATGGGATGCGCGCAAATTTGGGAGGAGAGACGAGGAGCGAAAGAAGGAAAAGACAGTAAGGGGAGCGCGGGAGAGGGGAAGGAGGCCGCGGAAAGGGGAGTCTACGGAAAGGGGAGTGGACGGTAAACGGGGACGTGCGACGCGAGACACAGCAGTGGCAGAGGGGGTTCGTTAGGTGCGCGGCGGTGGGAATAGAGAGCGAAAGTGGCGGGTGCTGCTTCAACAGCGAAGTTTGGCGGCTGGTGGGGGAAAGGGAGTGAACAAGCGGAGGGCACTCTGGAAAGCGGGAGGCGGAGGAGAGCGCATGGATGTGCTGTACTAAAACGGGAAAAGCGGAAAAATGTTACATCTATGGAATAATAGCACCACGGTATTTTGTTATAAACTATAATAAATACAAGACATAATTCACTACGGTGATACCTAATGCTAAGCTGGCAAAATTAGCTTTGCCATCAAAACACGTATCCAATCCATTGCAGTGCAATTGAGAGTGCAGGTGCTAAAAACAAAGGCCTCCGCCTCACCCGTCTGCACTCCCCCTTCACCCCTCCACTCCACTTCTCTCCTCCACTCCCCCCACTCCACTTTTTTCACCCCTCCACTGCAAACCCGCGCCACATCCAAGCGATCCATGCTTGCTGCCTTGCATGGCACCTCACCTCTTCCTCTCTCACCATACCTCACCCTTCCAGGCGCCATGCTCACACCTTCCTCCCCTCCATGGCGCCTCAGCAGCTGCTGCCCTGCATGATGCCTCAGTTGCGGGAGGCCTGGGTGCCCTGGGAGCCGAGGATGGAGAGCAGGTGGTTGGCCTGCCTGCCCTGCATGATGCCTGCCCAGGATGATGCCTGCCCTGCATGATACCTACCCCCTTAAATGAGCATGCCTCAGTTGCGGGAGGCCTGGTTGCCCTGGGATCCCAGGATGATGGAGCGCAGGAGGTGGTTGGGGGTGAGGCCTGGGTGGGGGAGGGGCTGGCCGGTGGAGGGCGAGAGGAGCGACGACGCCAGCCACGCCTCCATGTGGCGCCGCTCGTATGTGAACCCGTCTGCTGCTATCACCGGGTCCTGCATGCGTTGCTGCACGGATCCAAGGGTGGGGAACAGAGGAGAGCGGTGAGAAGTAGAGGGAAGCGAGTGAGTGAGTTGAAATGCGAGGAGAGAGATGGATTGACGAAAAAAACACAGGAGGGTGAGAAGGAAACGAGCCTGTGGTACTTGAAACAGCACCCAGACAGCACCCGACAGTACCCCAGCAGTACCTTGGAGAGCGGGCACACGAGAGTGCTCTCCAGCGCGTCGCTGCGCCGCGTCACATCGGCCCTGCCAGCAGCGGCCGCCTCGCTGAACGCGGGCACCACCTCTCCTGCCAGGTCAGCTCGCATGCGCGCATCCCGCTCCACACACCGCACCGCCACCCGCAGCACCCGCTGCGCCACGTCAGCAGGCCACGCACCCGCCAGCGTGTCAAGGTGCGGCAGCAGGATGGCCACTGACTGGAGCAGGTCGCGTGTGGGCACTGCCGGCAGGGCGCTCCTGGGAGTCAGAGGCGGGTCGCTGTCAGCATCGGTACCACCAGCGGTGGTGTGCGGGGTGATGGGGGAGGGGGGAGGCGGGGAGGAGATGGTGGTGGGGCAGAGGGCGAGCAGGCGGTGCACATGCTTGGGGGAGTCAGCACCGGTGAGCAGCATGAGCGCCACTACCCCCAACGCATACACATCGGAGGCGGGGGAGAGCTCCCCACACGCAATAGCCTCCGGGTCTATGAATCCCACGGTGCCGCGCATGCGGTGTGTGGTTACCACCGTGCTGCCGTCGCGCAGCAGGCATGCGAGCCCCACGTCCGCAATCTTGCTCGTGCCGTGCGCGTCGAGCAGGATGTTGTCGGGCTTTAAGTCGCGGTGCACAATGGGCGGCGAGCAGCGGTGTAGGTACAGCAGCGCCGAGGCCACCTCGGAGAGAATCCGCAGCCGGTCGTGCCACGGCAGGGGGGGTGGCGACGAGGCGATGGGGGAGGCGGGGGGGGAAGGGGACATGGGGGAAAGGGAGGAGAGCTGGCCGGAGGAGGAGGAAGAGGAGAAGGACGGGGACTTGCCACCGCTGCTCCCTGCCTTCTCCTGCTCCTGCGCACCTCGCTTGTGCTGCGCTGCCAGCCGGTGCTGCAGGCTCCCCCCCGCCATGAACTCGTAGACAAGAGACAGGTCCTGAGGGCAGCACCCCATGAGCAGCACCACATTGGGGTGCCGCACGCGGCTCAGCACCTGCACCTCGCGCTTGAACGCCTCTCTGCCCTCACTGCGCGCGCGCCCCTCGCGCGCCCTCAGGCGCTTGACAGCCACGTCGCAGCCGTGGATGGCGCCGCGGAACACGGGGCCGTATGCACCCGATCCCACCAGGCGGGTTGAGTGGAAGTTGTCTGTGGCACGGGCGAGGTCTGCGGGGGTGAACACGCGCGACCGCTGCCCTGCTGGCAGCCTCGCCGGGCTCCTGCCGCTGCCACTGCCGCTGCTTCTGCCGCTGCCGCCCGTGGGGGTGGTGGGGGTGCTGTGGAGGGGGCTGCCTGCTACTGATGCAATGCTGCTGGCCGTGGGGGTTGTGGGGGTGGTGGGTGCAGTGGCACGGGTGGGGGTGCTGGGAGTGGTGGGGGTGGTGGGGGTGGTGTTGCGTGTGCTGCTTGCGGCTCGCATGCCCGTGGTGCTGCTGCTACTGCTGAGCCTGTGGGAGGTATTGCTGCTCTGCCTGTTCAGCCCCATGCCGCCCTGACCCATGCCGCTCTGACCCATGCCGCCCTGACCCATGCCGCTCTGACCCATGCCGCTCTGACCCATGCCGCTCTGACCCATGCCGCTCTGACCCATGCCACCCTGCCCACCACTCTGCCCACCACCCTGCCCACCACTCTGCCCACCACCCTGCCGCATGCTACCCTGTCGTTTGAGCGCCGCACTGCCCTGTCTCTGCAGCACCGCGCCGCTGCTGCTGCTGTCCAGGCTGCGCCGCCCGATCACCACGCTGATGCTGTGACTGCCGCCCACGCTGCTGCCAATCATACCACCGCCGTTGCTGCTAGCACTGGCGGTACTGCCTTGCTGCGCGCGCTGGGGGAAGCGCAGGGAGGCGGAGGAGGAGGAGGAGGCGGGGGGTGGCATGAGGGCGCCTGTGAGGATGGCGTCTGTGAGCGCCGCGTCCTCTGCCAGCAGCCGCGCACGCGCCACCTCCATGCTCGCACTCCTCCCGCCTATGCTGCCCCTCATGCCCGTGCTGCCTACGCTGCCTACGCTGCCTGCTCCTGTTGCTGGCCGCCGCACTCCCCCCATGCCCGGTTGTCCCTGTCTCCCCGCCCCTGCTACCCCCCTTCCCCCCGCCGCCGCTGTGCCTGCGCGCATGTTCGGATTGATCCAACTGCCGCTCATGCTCCCCCCCATGTTTGTCCCCATGCCCCCCCCCATGCTCCCGCCCATGCTCCCGCCTGGGTTTCCGCCTGCGTTTCCGCCTGTGCTCCCGCCCATGCTCCCCCCAAGTCGTCCCCCCGGGGCAGCAGCGCAGGGCGGGCGCGCGGCGGAGGAGATGCTGCTGCTGGTGCGCGCGAGGCGCGCGGACGACTGGCCGGGGCGAGGAACCTGGCGGGGGCAGGGGGGGGAGAATAATGGGGAGGGGAGGGTGAGACGAATGTGAGACGCAGAGGAAAATGTAATTCCGAGGGGATTTTAGAACGTATGGTGTGGCGTGCGGGATGGCATGGCGTGCGGGGCAGTCACAGCGGGCGCGCATGAGCGAAACATACCCAGGGAGCGGGGGAGGGCGGGCGCTCAAGCAACGTGCTGGACGCACCCCCGCCACCATCCCCGCTGCCACCACCGCCGCCACCATCAACACCACCACTGCAGCCAGTATGCGCGTTCACCTGGTGCTCTCGAATCCCCCTCCCCTCCCCGCTCTCCTCGCCCGCCCCCCCTGCTGCCCCCTCCCACGCTCGCTGCCTCTCACTCCCTTCCCTTCCCACTCCCACTTCACCCTGTCGCTCCCCTACGCCCGCCGCCCGTCTGCCCGCGCTGCTGGCGGCGCCCGCGCTACCCGCGGTATTGGCGGCGCCCAGACGAAGCGGGCCCGAGAAGGAGCCGGCGGCAGGCGCGGGTGCTGGGGGGTTCGCTTGGGCGGGCAGCGGTACGGAGTGGCGCGGCAGGGAGAGCGAGGAGCGCGATAGACGGCTGGGATTGCGCTGTAACGGCAGGGACGGGGGGGAGGAGGGAACGGGGGGAATCGAGAGGAGAGGGAAGCGGGGGTAAAGGCAAGAAGGGAGAGAGGGGAAGGAGAAGTAATGTGAGTTGAAGGCCGTTGGGGCGGGGGAAGGGAAATCGGAGGTACAGACATGGCTGAGGAGCGAGGGTGTGCGCATGCGTGTGCGGCGCACAGTGTGGGGATGGGGAAGCTAGCAAGAGGGGGGAGAAGGGGGGTGGGGCGGGAGGGAGGGGACGCGCAGATGCACAGATAGGAACGGGAAGCGCAGCAGCAGCAGCAGCAGCAGCAGCAGCAGCAGCAGCAGCAGCAGGGGCTCACCTCGTCCGCCCACTGCTCTCTGGTGGGCGACCGCCGGCTCACCACGCGCCTCTCCAGCCCGCTCACTCGCACGCCAAGCTCCCGCGCGCCCTGCTCCCTCGCGCCCTCCCCTTCCCCCTCGTCCTCCCCCTCCCCCGCCCCGCTCTCCTCCCCGCTGTCCACGCCCAGCGCCGCCAATTCGTCCATCAGCCACCGCCGCGCCGCCGACGCCGCCACCACCTCTCGTGCCCTCTCGCCCTCCCCCTCGCTCGGGCAAGCTGCCGCTTTCCTCCGCTCGCCCTCTTCCCCCACCTCCCCCTTCCCGCCCCCTGCTGGTTCCTTGCCCGCACCCTCCCCCTTTTCCACCTCCCGCACCTGCACCACCAGCTGCCGCCCCGCCATCTCCCGCTCCCCCTTCTCGCGCTCTTCGCTCACCCCTTCCCCAGTCACTCCTGCCGCGCCCCCTCGGCTCCACGCCCCATGCGGAAACACTTCCCCGCCCCATATGAGCGCGCCAGGTGCCGCGCCCGCGGCGGCGGAGGGATCCGGGGAGAGTGACGCGCGGATGGGGGAGACGGCGGCGGAGAAGGTGTGAGGTGAAATGGGGGAGATGGGGAGCACGGAGGAGGAATGCGCGGAAGGGGGAACGGCGGGGGAGCGGGCGGAGGAGGCTACCGCGACGGCGTCGAGAACGCTGCGGCAGCCCTCGCTGCCGCCGCGCTTGAGCTGGCGGCGCTGAAACAGGCCCCCCTTGGTGCGCTCCTTCACCACCGGCGGAGGCGCGGCGGGGAGCGGCGTGGCGGCGGGGAGGCGGGGAGCGCGCGGGAGAGACCAGGGGGATCGGGTGGGCGTGAGGGGCGACTGGGAAGGGGAAAGAGAAGGGGGAGTGGTGGCGGGGGAGTGGTATGTTGTCACGCCTGCACTAGCACCTGCAGCGGCTGCTGCTGCGGGATTGACTGAAATGTTCTCTTCAACGTACCTGCCGCTAATACTGCCACTGCCTGACCCTGATACGCGCTGTGCGGCGTGCGGAGGGGTGGCGGGAGCGGTGGCGGCGCATGGAGCAGGCATGGGCGCACCCGGGGGAGCGGAGACGGAGGGGGGAATGGCGTGGCCCGGGGCCGCGGACGGCCCTACCGGCATGGTGTGGCTGGCGGGTACGAAGGCGGGGTAGGCGGGGTAGGCGGGGTAGGCGGGGTAGGCGGGGTAGGCGGGGGGCGGGGAGGAGAGGGGCGACGGCATGCCGTGGCCTGCGCTGAGAGAGTGAGATGAGCGCGGGGGAACGGACGGGGACGGGGGAAGGGGAGCAGGGGCCGCCTTCCCCAGCAGCCACTGCGTCAGCTGCGAATCCACCTCCGCCGCCTCCGCCCATGCCTCTCCGCCGCGCACCCCCGCTAACACACCCTGCCACCGCTCGCGCTCCCCCTTACCCTGCCGCTGCTGCACCCCTTGCTGCGGCTGCAGCTGCTGCTTCCCGGGTTGCGACCACCCTTGCGCGGCCCCACCCAGCAGCTGCATTGGCCCCGACCGCGCGCCCCCTGTCGGCAGCCCAGCGCCGCCTGCCTGTCTCACTACTCCGCCCTCTCTATCCTGCTCCCCACCCGTGCCCCCGCGGATCCATCCCGCGCCCTCCCCTCCTCTCCGCGCCTGCCCCGCACCGCCACCGTCACCGCACGCTGCTGGCGGCACAGCCGGCAGTGGCCCACTCCTCGAGTTCCCCGCGCCCGACAGCCTATCCGCTAACGCGCGACCTGGCACAGGCTGTTCCCGCCCAGCACTACGAGCCGCGCCGCCGCCGCCGTGCGCCCCTCCCTCCCCACGGCGCTGCAGCGGCATGGCGGAGTTCTGTAAGCGCCACTGCGCACTTCCGCCGTTCCCCCCCGCCACCCTGCCATCGCCTTCCCCCGGCCCAAACCTGTCACCGCCGTCGCCTCTCATCACCGCACCGCGCTCCTCCTGCGCCCTCCGCATCCGCTCCGCAAAAACCATCTCCCCCGCCGTCCCTACGCAGCTTCCGCATGCTTCTCTCCCCACTCCCTGCGCCTGCCCCTGGCCTTGCCGCATCGTCGGGCCCTGTGCGGTGGGCTGCTGTATGCGCGCCCGTGCGATGGCGCCGGGCGGAACACTACCACCGCGAGCCCCTCCCCGCCGCCCTACCTCCTCGCCCAACGCGGCACGTGCAGAGCCAGCAGCAGCAGCGCCACCAGCACCACCACCACTACCGTCACTACTGGCAACACCACCAATACTAACAGCAACACTACCAGCAGCATCATAGTCACCACCGGCCGTGGTGCGAGAGAACGAAGGGAACAGGTCGCCGTCGATGGCACCGGGACCTGCCACCGCCGTCAACCCTTCGCGCCCGCCACTGCCATCACGGAGGCCTGCTTCCCTCCGTCCCCCATCACCGTCTGCCCCCTTGCTGCTCGCCTCCGCGCTTATTCTCGCCCCGTTGGGCTGACGGCGCGCGGAGGCGGTCATGATGAGCGCGCACTGCGGGGGCAGCAGCGCGCGGATCAGCGCAGGCGACGGGGGGGGCTCCGTGGCTTCGCGGGGAGATAGCACTGCTGCCTGTGAAGCTTGGAAAGCGGCGGATTCGGGGGGAGATTCGGCGGCGGAGTCCACGGCGTTGGATGCGGTGAAGAGGTTGGATGGCAGGTACACGCGCGCGGCGTCGAAGTGGCGCGCAGCGGCGCACACGCCCTGCACACGCTGCTGCTGATGTGGCAATCGTGAACTGCCAGCTCCGCCCTGCGACGCCGCCCTTTCCACGTGGAAAGCGGCCAGCACCTGCGAGATAACGTGGATGGCGGGGCAGAGGGGGCGGGAAGAGGGAGGGGGGAAGGGGGAGGGGGAGAGGGGGGTGGGGGGGAAGGAAGGGTGGCATCAGAATGTGACGCCCGTTGACGCGGGGAAGCGAAATGAGACAAACGCGACAGAAATGCGAGCAGCGGGGAGGTTTTCCTGGCAGGATTCACCTTGACCCGCGTGACGCACCTTGGCTCGCGTCGCTCGCTGCACCAGAGGTCGGAGCACGCGCTGCACCACCCACGCCTCCACGCCTTCCTCCCCCTCGCGCTCGCCGCCTTGCTTCTCCTCCTCCCCCCTATCCCCCTCGCCGGAGATTCCCGCGGCCGACGATGGCACCACCGCCACCAGCACCAGCACCACCTGCGACGTGGCTTGTTGCCGAGCCACGTCAGCAACGGCGCGCTGCACCACAGTCCACGCGTCCTCCACGCATCGACCCAGTGCCGCCGTCGACTCGCGGTCGGTGACGTGGAGCGCGGTGGACAGAGGCACTTCCACCACCCAGCGCCGCCTGGGCGAATCGCCGGGCGGCATGTCGCGCTTCGCAGCCGCGGGGAGCGGCAAGGCGAGGCTTAGCAGTCGGCGGGTCAAGTGGCCTCCGCGCGATTCTGTGGCTGCACCCTGCTGCTGCGGGGAATAGTGCTGCGGAAGTGGCGCGTGATGGTGCAAATGCGTGTGGTCTATCGGCGGAGCTGCACACGTGGCGACGTCCGCCATTGCCAACGAACCATGTGACGAGGTGAGAGATGCTGAGTTGAGCGACGGTTAGTGAAACAACGAAACCTAGGGTTTGAAATGGAGGCAGAAGAGCTGGAACTGGTGGAGGAGAGATGAAGTGCAAACAACCAGCTTCATTCACGGAATCACGCGCTGGCAAGCTCATTGTGCCTGGTGATCTCGAGGGATTTCTCGAACTTCCCTGTGCTACGGTGGAGAACGAGTCCAGAGCCCATCTCGGAGCAGCGGGCAAACACGAACTCCAGGCAGGTGTGAGGTGAGGGGAGTAAAGCCACCCAGGTCCCGCAAAGGAAAACAGGACCATCAGAAAAATCCAAGACTGCTGCAAAACGTGTGTGAACTGTGCATGGGAAGGATAGAGGCGTGATGCTGGTGATTCGCATCGCTTTCGAAATTTCCTCATTGTGCTGTTTCGCATTGTCCATGGTTTGGCCTTCATGTTTGTGCACAGTTCAGTGCTGACCCAGGGATCATCGGATTCGCAACCCAATCCAGCACGGAATTTGCGGAGCGAGGTGAGGAATTCAAATTTCGTTTAGTGCCAAAGCCGGGTAACCTGTCCATGCTGCATGTCCACGATTACGAGTGGAGGAGAGTTGTTGTTCCGTGCCACCCTGGCACGCCAAGGTGGCATTGCCTTTGGTTTTCCCCCTCAATTGCAAACTCTTTTACACGTGCCAATGATTATGATCGCGGCTAAAAGCTGCCGGAACAGTGATACGATCGAATCCTATTAAACTGTAGCGATTTTTTCTAGCCTTTGTTTGGCAACCTGCCCATGCAAGTGGTTAGATTGGGATGGGACCAAAACCACAAGGGGCACACCAGCCCCACACCAGTCTCCTCTCCCATTGTACACTTACGTGCACACTTCTGACTCTAGCTTATCTGCCTAGGCTTGAAGGCACAGCAAACAACCCATCTGGCCTTCTAAGGTAGACTCTGAAACACTCCTCGGGTTGGCCAAACCCCGTGACCACGTACATAAGACGCTTTGCTGAGAAGTTCAGGGCGTCCAGATCTCTGACCAATATGCGTTGTTCTTCCTCGTCCAATCTCATACTAAACATATGACCGCTGGTTAAATGTGTGGGCAACTGAAAAGACAGTGATCCACCGACACAGCCCCTCAACAGTGCGGGCAGCATGCGTTGCCTTCGAGGATGTACATCATCTTGCCAAATTTGTGTACACATTTATATAGAATGCTCTTTAGCATAACCAGTACATTTATCCAACTTTTGGTGGTGCACCACTTAGCCCACCACTTGCTTTTAGGGTACATTCCTGCAAAGACATTTGTGTCACAATCCGATTTTCCTTACTGTACCGCTCTTTACCGAATCAAACCGCTTTGTACACCGCATTACCTTCCCGAATTGGGATTGTGATCCAAATGTCCCCGCATGAATGTACCATTACAATTTGGTGCAGAGAACCACTCTACACCGGGAGCTGGACTACGTGTCAGAATACTGAACGAGAATGAATGCACTGACAAGAAACTGAGTACAAGTACTACCCCTAATTGGATTGTACCCCTTATGGGCTACCCCACTACAGCCTATACAATACAAATATTATAACAATTTGACACACCCCCATAGGCGAAGTGGGGGAGAATAGGGGGTTACAAGACCAGTCAAGAAAAAGCAAAGCAAGCTCAGGGTGGATCACAAAGCCACCACACACTCTGAGCACAAGCAAATGGCCACAAGGCCAGTTCACATGCAGAATTATATAAACGAGAACAAACAGTACAGTGATCATAACCTAGCAAGGGTAAGCATGCAGATATATGTATACAGATCACAGTACAAGCAAAATCACGCAGTGAGCAAGTGAGACAAAGTAGGCACAAGGCCTAAAACAGTACAAAAACGCTGATGATCACCAGGCTGAAGTGCCTTGGTGAATATATCAGCAGTGCTGGCCCGAGTAGCCACGTAAGCAAGACGAAGCTGACCACGCTGCTCCAACTCTCGAGCAAGGAAGTAACGCAGAGCGATGTGCTTCGTCCTGTGCTCCAGTCTGTGCTCCTGACACAAGGCAATCATGACCTTGTTGTCTACGTACAGAACTGGAGGAGAACGAGGCCGCTCTCCCAAGTCGGTCAGCAGGTAGGTGAGCCAGCGTAACTCCTGTGCAGCCATGGCCCCTGCGTAGATCTCAGCCTCAACACTGGAACTGAGAATAGAAGACGAGCGGGTAGACCGCCAAGACACAGAGCCGGAGCCAAGGCTGAAAGTGTAACCCTGTGACGACTGCTGCGCAGCCAAGTCGTCAACCCAAGACGCGTCTGCGTGACCAGTGAGGACAACTGGACCCCGTCCTCCAAGCACGAGCCCCATGCCCGATGTACTGCACAAGTAGCGCAACACCCTCTTAGCGGCCTCCCAGTGCTCTGGTTGGTGTCTTCCGGGCGCAACGTAGTGTGCCAGGATGCTAAGAGGGTAGGCAAGGTCAGGTCAAGTGCAGGTCATCAGGTACATGAGGCAGCCCACAAGCTCTTGATACAGGCCACTCGGCTCTACGGACTCGTCCGAAGGTGGAGCTGAGAGCGAGTGACCAGTAGGCAGAGGAGTGGACTATGGAGAGGAGTACCGGAAGCCGAAGCGCTGAAGAACCTGGTGCACCATGTGTGACTGAGTCAGGGTGATGGTGCGCCGTGCTCTGTCCCGGGTGATCTGCAAGCCGAGATAGCTACGCAGCTCATCCAGGTCAGTGCACGTTTGTCTCTTCTGCAGCTCCGACTTCACAAGGGCCAGTGCCTCAGTGTCAGCAGTGGCAAAGACCAAGTCGTCGACGTACACGAGGACGTAGAACGGTGGCAGCGAAGTGTCGGTGCGCAGAAACAGCGACGGGTCAGCAGTAGAAGGAGCAAACCCAAGAGCCGCAAGCGTCGACCTCAGTGTGTTGTGCCACTCGCGAGGCGCCTGGCGGAGACCGTAGACTGGCCACCAGAGGCTCCACTGGGTACCTGCAGGAAACGACCTAGTGAAGCCAGGTGGGCGGCGCAGCCAGATCTCCTCGTGCAGGCTGCCCTGTAAGAAAGATGTGCTGAATTCAAGAGAGTGCAGCTCGTAGTCACGCTGAGCGGCGACATGCAGCAGAACCCGAACAGTGGTCATCTTCGGGGTAGGGGAGAAGGTGTGTAAGAAGTCAACTCCCTGTCGCTGACTGAAGCCTCGTGCAACGTAACGAGTCTCGAAGACAGGCGGAGAACCCGGCGGCCGCTTCACCCTGAAAATCCACATGCCATCGATTATGTTCGCCCCAGGAGGGGGAACTGCGTCGACGTAGGTGCCTGTAGACTTCCAGGATGCCATCTCTGTGTCCGTGGCTATCTGCCACTGAGAGGAGTAGGGACCCGTAATTGCCTCTGCCTAAGAGCGCGGGGTCGGGATGTCTGGTGCATCCGGGCCTCCCTCAGGTGCAAGCAGCATGGCCATGAGATGAGGTACAGCAGCTGCAAGACACTCAAAGTCCTCCTGTCTATCCTCAAGGACGTCCGTGCCAAGAGCACACTCACCCCCGACGGATGGAGGACAGTCAGACTCAGACTCAGCTACAAGACTAGTGGAGTAGTCGAGACGACAGGTGGCAGCAAAGTCAACAAGCTCAGCAACTAGGGCAGACGCAGCAGCGGACTCAAACGAAGGGTCAGTGACAACAGTGGCTAGAAGACGTGGGATAGTAGGACTGGCAGCACGAAGTAAGTCAGACTCAGGGTCCGGACTGTTAGCAAGAGAGGATGCAGGAGGAGACGGCAGGGGAACTCGCAGTGGAACAGAGGAAGGACGAAGTGCCAGCACCTCTGTTCCACAGTGAGTGCCGGGGACAGGAGGAGGACGCGGACGAGGAACACAACGACCAGTGCGAACAACGCGAACAGGCGAGGCAGGACGAGACTCAGGCTCACGATGCTCTGTAAGAGAGTCTGTCTGCTCAGCGTAAGGAGGAGCAGGCAGTGGGGAGTCTGGCTGTAACTGTGGCTGCGACTGGTGAGGCGGTGGACACAATAAGCGAGGAGTAAGGCCAGTAGAAGACCGGAGACTAAGAACCTGGCGAAGGACCGAGCAAGGTGGCGGCAGAGACGATGGCGGCGGCGGAACGAAAAACGGTCGCCGCTGCAAAGTGCCTCCAGCACCAGTACCGCCAGCTCCAGCACCCCCACCGCCAGCACCTCCAGCTCCAGGGTCTCCAGCTCCAGCGCCTCCAGCTCTAGTGCCTCCAGCTCCAGCTCCTCCAGCTCCAGCGCCTCCAGCGCCAGCGCCTCCAGCTCCAGGGTCTCCAGCTCCAGTGCCTCCAGCTCCAGGGTCTCCAGCTCCAGTGCCTCCGGCTCCAGCGCCTCTAGCTTCAGCACCTCCAGCTCCAGCTCCTCCAGCTCCAGCGCCTCCAGCGCCAGCGCCTCCAGCTCCAGGGTCTCCAGCTCCAGTGCCTCCAGCTCCAGCGCCTCCAGCTCCAGTGCCTCCAGCTCCAGGGTCTCCAGCTCCAGTGCCTCCAATACCGCCAGCTCCGGCAGCTCCAGTACCTCTAGTACGAGCACCTCCAGGACCAGCAGCTCCAGCACCTTCGGTACCTCCAGCTCCAGCAATAACTCCAGCACCTCCACGACTAGTAGCTCCAGCACCTCCAACTCCATTGCCTCCAGCGGCAAGGCCTCCAGCTCCTGCAGCGCCAGTCCTAAGGCGTGTGCGCCGAGCAAACCACTCGCGCAGCTGCCGCGGTGAGAGAGGCTCCCGCCGGCGAGACTATCGTGGTGAGGCACCCGCAGGACCTCCCGCAGACGTAGTACCCCTAGGCTCAGCACCCCCGGACTCCGCACCCTCAGACTCAGCACCCCCAGGCTCCGCACCCTCAGTCTCAGCACCCCCAGGCTCCGCACCCACAGGCTCAGCACCCCCAGGCTCCGCACACGCAGGCTCAGCACCCCCAGGCTCCGCACCCGCAGGCTCAGCACCCCCCAGACGAAGCAC